CCCCCCCCCCCCCCCTACCCTTGTTTAGGCAGTTAGTGCCATAAGGGCTGGGATGGGATGGGATCATCTTCTTTCTCTCGTTTTTTCTTCTATTGACTTTGTAAAAACGTGTTTGCCGGGGACAAGTAACCGGGCTGATGGACACCAGAATAAAACGGATTTGTTACTAAAAAAAGGGACAAAAAAAAAAAAAGTTCAGCTTTCAACTTTCAAGGGAAAGAAAAAGCACACCACTTGAGTAAATAAACATTCTCAAAAAACGAAGTCCCATTGCACTCGAATTCCGTTTATTCCCCCTCCTCCGCCCCCCCACCGCTTCTCTTCTCCCTCCTCCCCCTCCTTCCTCCTCACTCAAGTCTGAAATTCCACCACAGTAAAAACCCGCCGAGAGGGCGAGAATGACCAGATACGTTCAAAGATTACTACAAAATGTCTTCTTTTTTTTCCTACTGTTCAGAAGACTACATGGAGTCAAAAAAAGGAAACACGGAGGCACCATACATCTGTTGAGTTCTATACGTTCACACTGATTTTGCGATCGCAGAAGCGCACGGCCATTATGAAAAAAGACCATCTATTAAGCTCTATTGAGACTCTACCTGAATCACTATAGCCAAAGCGCACAGCCATTATTATGCAAGAAACCATATTGTCTGTGTGCATATGTATGTGTGTGTTGTAGTGTCCTCTACATGCGTGTGTATCTCGGGACCTCACCACCGTCTCAACTATCCCGCATGCAAGCACAGTTGAGCGCATGTGTGTGATTTCATCTCCGCTACACACGTTCATCTTGGGACCTCTTTTATTCTCACTTTCGTTGAACCAAACCCAATGACGATCCAGGTACAGAGTTCACAATACCTCTGCACAAACACACCAGTACAGCTACTACAGAGTGAAACTCAAAATCCCAATACCTTCCAGAAATCACGAAGACAAATCACTCCACCACGAACCAACACCCATAGCATCAAGAAAAGAGCAAATCACCTCCCTCCCATTCACACAGTCCACCCAGACAACCATCCTGCAAACACCTAACATCAGAGAAAACCCAAGTCATAATTCCCACAAAACTCTCTCTCTCTCTCTCTCTCTCTCTCTCTCTCTCTCTCTCTCTCTCTCTCTCTCTCTCTCTCTCTCTCTCTCTCTCTCACACACACACACACACACACACATATACACACGCGCACACACACACACTTGTTAAAACTTCAACGAGTACAGGTGAGAATGTTTTCATATACGTGCTGGAATTCCTCACAGACCAGGAGCTCTTTCCGGAGCTCGATTAAAGACTATGGCACTATGCCAGCAACAGTTTTGTCGCACTGCACCACTGAAATAGTAAAGAGTCAGATCGTGCTCTTTAAAAGAGAGGAAGACGAATTGGCGTTCGGCGCTAGTGAATGGCAACAGCCAATCTCTTTTCTACACAAACACCAAGTGGAAGGAATTGCCAACACAGGTCTACTCCCATAGCCTCCACAACACAGAGAGATGGCCTGACTCCTGCGCAACAAGAAGACACCTTCCTCCAAACTACACCCTCGTCTTCTTGCCTTTCTCTCCGTCCTGACACGATTGGCAAACTGCACAACTGCAAATGCATCATCACCGAAGTGCCAACTGCAGCAGCAGGCCATAAAATTGGGGCGAGAACCGACTACCTAAAAATGCTTCTAGCTATGGGATGGCACTCTTTTTGCGATCCAAACCCATGATGAAATGCAGACAGGCTTGCATTCCACCCGTTGACCTTTCATCAGTTTCGGCGTTTGTACATGGGCACACACACACACACACACGCACACGCACACACACACACAAGCATAGGATGACAGACATAGTGCAACCTTGACCATTGCTACCCTGATGTACCAAATGGCTAGAAAATTTTGGTAAAGAACAAATCCAGAATTATAAACAACAATAAAAACAACGATAAAAACAACGATAAAAACAACGATAGACTCGGAAAGAGGCCATAGCAGAGTATACTGGACATCAACGGAAGTTTTGGATCGGGCTCGAGCTCTTGTTATCAGCAAAGCGATCTTTAGAGAATCCATTTTCTCGAGTTAAATCGCCCCCCGTTCGCAACTTGCACTCACAAGCCAAGCATGGAGGCAAGGGAGGAAATCACTTCTGCAATTGAAGGGCGAATCGCAGAGACAACCGACTGCTTCAATGGGGAGGCGATTGATTACAAACAAGCGAGAAGTGAAGAAGTGATGAACGACGTTATACGCCTTCTCTGGCGCCTCGATCCTGCCCAAGCATCAAACAAACGGAGGAGATTAGTGGGCCAGCAAACGAGCCAGAGGGACCGGTCCATGACAACAGAAGAGACTCAAGGTAAAACCGCAAAATGGAGAACCAGCTGACCGAGTGTTCAGAGGGAAGACAAATGACGAAGAACAGAGCATTCTCTCATGCTGGTGAAATATCACAAGAAATGAAATCAGGCAGGGTACGCTTCTGCCCTTCCATCATCAATCAGAAGAAGACGAATCCGAGTATTCGCCGAGAAGGCTTTCCACCCTCCGTGAATCTTCGCTGAAGGTATCCAAACGACTTTGTCATAAACCAAAACTACCATGCGCTTGTGGGCGACAAGACAAGTGAGGCCCTGACACTACTCCAATCAATATGTGAGTATATGATTGAAAAGACAATCCGCAATAAAAGCCCTCGCAACGAGAAAAACAGACTACTCTCTCTCTCTCTAGATCCTACAGAAGTATCACATGTATCACATGTCTTGCCAGCTCTCTCTCTCTCTCTCTCTCTCTCTCTCTCTCTATGTGCCCCTCAGCCACACAGGAGGCTGCAAATTCCAGATCAGATTACAGTGATCTTACTAGTCGGCTCTGCAACTCGAGCACACACAAGCATGCCGGTGGACCCGCTCCCAACCCCCTCCCATCTACTACCCTAGGAAAACTAACGCGGACACCCCCATTCTTCCACACACTCTTTCCTACCTCCATTCTCCCTCCTCCAAAGAGGAAGCCTTCCATGTTACATAGCAGCATCACATCACTCACAGGGTCTCTGTGACATCCATTACAGATTCTCATTCGTGGTTCTCATTCATGATGCAGAGACGACCGTCTTGGCTGGTCTCTGACGCTTCCATTACACGTTCGCATTCGTGATGCAGAGACCCCTGTCTTGGCTGCTGAATCCATCCTCCGTCCTCCATACACACCCCACTTCCACCTCATCTGGTAATACTATGCTGTTCAGAAGCCGCAGCGACACAATACCACCTCCCCTTCACGCTCCTCCCAACTCACCCCGCCCCTCCCTTTCACAATCCATGCAACAGCACCCACAATTGAAGGAACGAAGAAACCACACCTATCCCCCACAAACTCCGACTCTATCTCACGATCTCCTGTCCAGAGACCGCAGAGATGCGACATGGTGTTTCCCTCCACACTCCCTCCACCCCCCCCTCCCCCCCCCCCCCCCCCCCCCCCCCCCCCCCCCCCCCCCCCCCCCCCCCCAACCCCCCAAACCTTACAGTGCATGCAACGGCACCCCCCATTTCACAACCCGCCCATTCCACAGACCCATTCTCGGACCGCCCCTACCTACTCCTCGTGGATTTCCGTCCTGACTGATTCCCATCTCCACGTGACTTTGGACGGCACCCCCCATTTCACGACAAGCCGATTCCACAGAACCATTCTCGGACCGCCCCTACGTACTCCTCGTGGATTTTCGTCCTGACAGATTCCCATCTCCAAGTGACATTTGGGACCACCTCCGCTGAGGACCTACTCACACCCCCTCCTCTCCTCCCTCTCTTCGCCCTTTCTTTGCCGTGCAAACTGAACTGAATGCCCCTTGGACGGTTAACCACAACGGACCAAATCATCATTCCTTCACAGACAGCATTCCATCCCCCAGTAGGGCTCGCAAAGTAACGAGCCCATCGACAATCACAGAAGTAATACAGAAGAAGCAACAGCAGCAGCATTGCATTATATCTACATGCAAGAGTGGTTGATGTGACCTTCCCTGCCTGCATGGCAACCTAGCCAGCGCCAAGAACCTTCTGCAATGCAGCCTTTTGCTCGGGGCTCAACCTCGGAGGGAACTTTATATCGAACTTGAGCCGCAGATTGCCCTTCTTCCCCGGTTCWTTYGCGATTGGCATCCCTTCCTTGGGTATGACTTTCTCGTAGCCCGGGTAGATCACCTCATTGCACTCCACTCTCAGATTCCTCCCGTCCAGCGTCTTGATATTAGCTGTGTAATCAGCCAGGGCCTGCGCAAGAGTAATCTTTTGCGTGACAATCAGATCATTACCGTCTCTCTTGAACACATCATGAGGCTTCTCCTCTACGACAAAAATCAGATCCGCAGGAACGACTCCCGGTATCTCGTTTCCTTTCTCCGGGAACGTGATCCTCGTTCCCTTCTTCCACCCAGGCTTTACACCGATCGAGAGGATCTCATCGATGGGAATCGTCTTCCTGTTTATTAGGTTCAAAACACACCATCCAGGACCACGTCACACCACACAAAAGTCAGCAACAACCAACGCACAACAAAATCAAACGACAACCACACCATGGATCAAACCGATCAGTACTCTTATCAGAATACCCCGTTCCCTGTCATCAAGCTCTCCAGCCACCCACATTCTTTCCGCGTGTTCATCTAGACAGACCAACAGACCTTAAGACCTCACCTCCAATCTAGATGCTTCCCCAACGGAGGAACACTTCCCAGAACACAAACGGCTGCCCCAAGGTACAACGGATACAGGACAATATCACGAACGAAAAATAACGTGTGAACCACAATGTAGAGAGAATCAGTCTCTCGATATCCTCCATGTCATCGGCGGAGATATCGAAGATGAAAAAACGCCCATCAATGACCCCGCTCAAGGAACAGAACAATTCGGAGATACACCAGAGACGAAAATCACGACCGCACACATGCGGTCTAAACATGACCAAACTATAGTCCGCTGTCTGATCACCACCACCTGCGCCCAGTCAACCAAAGCAATTTGATTTTAGACCAGAAATTGCACATTCTTTTTTTTTTTCTTTTTTTTTTTTTCTTTTTTTACAAAAAAAACGTACGACCACGTTAAGAGGAGTGATACGAGCATCCCCTCCTAGCGGGCCACCCGGTTGCTCCAATCTATTGGTGGGGAGTGGCACCTGCTACGTTAAGAGGAATGATACGAGCATCCCCTCCTAGCGGACCACCCGGTTGCTCGAATCTATTCGTGGGGAGCGGCACCTGCTGGAAAACGGGTCCAGCCTCCCACTGAGCATCTTCAGAACGTCTTCAGACCTTATTTTCATGCACTTTCTTTCTAACATTAATAAAGTCACCATAACATAGTCCACCACGTCGACTAACATTACTTTAATAAAGTTAACATAATAACATAGTCCAACACGTCGACAAATCAACACGGCATCCCCACCCATACCAAGTCCTGGATTTCCTGGAGGATTTGCGACCCCGCTACTGCACCTTCTGCCTCGAAATATTAGTTGCCGGGCCACATAAAGAAGTCGCCCCGGTACCCAGCCCACTTGGCCGAATAGTAAACGTGTGTAATAACTCTGCAAATAAACAGAACACAAGGTTCTAGTTGAGGAGGAATTAGACAAACACAATTAGAGTTAAGCGCCCAGCACCCAAACCCTAAAAGGGAAAAATAATGACTGCTAGAAACCCTAAAAGGGAAAAATAATAACTGCTGGTAAGCAGAACAGAAGATTCAAGTTATCAGTCATTAGATGACCACAACAGAAATGGTTTACGGCCTGCACACCCTAAAGAGGAAAACTCCAGTCGTATCTCCGCTGCACGGAGCAGAGGTAGCACACCCATTAACGTTACGATAGTGTACTTGTAGCGAGTACATGGAAGGATCTTGTTCCATCTGTTCCCCAATCGTGGATCTCGATCTCGAACTCAGACCTCTGGGACGAGGTCCTGCGATCGTCAATCTTGAACTCGATGGCACTCTGGAGGAAATCAGGAACAAAATAGGCTATTGACCGTACATTGAAGAGGGAAACAAATGGTTATAGAAGACAGGAAAACAAATGGTTATCAAAGACAGGAAAACAAATGGTTATTGCGGCAGCAGCTATTCCAGAAAATCAGAAACAACCACTGACAAAGCAGGAGACCCCCCCCAGGTACTTGGTTTTTTAGTACCTCAGATGAATCTTTGAGAACCTAGAAATTGCTTCAAATACAGCCAGACCAAATGAGTATCTTTCAGGACTGGGATGTCGAAACAGAGAGTACAGTCCTACACGTAGACCCAGAAGCTCGTCCAAAAGTGAGATCAACCTCTACACCGAGTTCAGTGTGATTGAATCACACGGAGGGAAAGGGACTGCGTCTGCTACACCGTTTGCTAAATCACGTGTCAAAAGCCTGAAAATCGACCCCAACCCAAAATCTTGGAACAGCCTACAAATCGAACCCGCAATCTTGGAAAAGCCTAATCATCGACCGCAAAATCTTGGAAAAGCCTAAAAAAACAACCCCAAAATCTGGCAAAAACCTAAAAAATCGACCCCAAAACGTGGGAATGGAGTGCACAAGGCAATAAAGAACAAAACCTCTTGTCCGTAGGACTAAAACAACAAGTGGGATATTGACTTTTGTCCGTAGGACTATACCAACAAGTGGGATTTTGATTGTCACTCCCAGCAGCCAAAGATCCACTGACTCTGTCAAGATCAAGATCGCAACCCCTAAACTTGATGTAAGACAAGATTGCAACAAGGGGTCTTACATCAAGTTGACCAAGTACAAGTCCCTAAACTTTTTAAAAGGGGGTCTGGCCTCAGCTAAAACTGACCCCTCCCTTGTCAGAGACAAACGCAATCTTACGACTTGTATCTTTAGGTTCTTAGTAGGTAGTAATCTCCCACAGGGTTAGGTGGGACTTGGCATGGTGTTTGCTATTCCAGTCAGTTTTCTTCAGCTTGTCTTCTTCCTTTTTTTCTTGAATTGAGTTGGGGAGTAACTTAGGATTGGAGACCTGATCCCTTGTCAGAGACAAGCCGCGATCTTATGACTATTACCTCTGGGTCCTTAGCAGGAATCTTCCTACCCACCGGGTTAGGAGGGACTACCTTCTTCCCCCGAATACAACGTACGGTAATTATAGCTATATATAGACTGAAAGATGCCTCAAATACAGCTATTACAAGCGTCTGAGCCACGCTTCCATCGTGACCCATCATGATAACCATCCTCACAAGCTGAGAGGTCTTCCGTGATTTACGATGTCCATTACGATCACGCACATACGCACCAGAACAGGACAAACGTTACGATGTCCATTACGATCACTCACATACGCACCAGAACAGGACAAACGTCAGAGCCGCGCTTGCATCGTGTCCCGTCGTGATACCCATCCTCACAAGCTAAGGGGTCGTCAAAAAGAAGCGTTTTTTTTTTGTTTTTTTTTTTTCCGATCGGAATTTGGGAGGGCTGTGACGAGTTACTCGGCACACCACTTCAGCTAAGTAATCTATATTCTTCTCTCAATCTTCACTTACATATATCCTATCTCGTCCTCTCCATACTCTATGTATAGTACGGGGGAACACCAACCAAACCTGTAACTCTCCCCAGCCCACGGGGTAGGTTTGCCCCACAGCAGTGGTGCGAGAGCAAGGCTTGTATCAGCCCCTCATCACGATGATGCAGGGTGATCAGGCATTGCCGACGGGGGAAACAGGCGATGCTCGTGCCCAGCATCTTTGGCCAGTCACTTGCACCTCCCCCTACCCTCCTCCTATGCCCCCCCTCCTTTAAGGCGAGAAGAGACAGAATTAAGATCGAAACCGAAATCACTGCCGCACCAAACACTGCAGCACCAAACGAGACCGTCAGTACACTCCCGAGTTCCACACCACGGCGAAGGAGGGGTCCCCACCCAGACCGCGGGAGGGGGTTTCTACATTGACACAGGCAGAGGGCAATGCCACTCATGGAATCCTAATCAAAGCCCAGCAACCAACAGGGGAGGGGATGGCCTAATCAAAGCCCAGCGACGGACGGGGAAGGGGATGGCCACAAGTCCACGAGGGTTGGCATCGCACTAAACACAGGTGGCACGACCGAGGGACATCTGTCGGAAAAGTTACCACAGTAAAATAAGGAGGGGAAAAGAACACCGTGGTCAAGCTGGATCCACTAGATCGGAGAGAAAAAGAGAAGGAAAAATGGGGGGGGCGGGGGGGGGGGGGCGGGGGGGGGGGGGCGCGGGGGCGGGGCCCGGGGGGGGGGGGGGGGGGGGCGGGGGGGGGCGGGGGGGGGGGGGGGGGGGGGGGGGGGGGGGGGGGGGGGGGGGGGGGGGGGGGGGGGGGGGGGGGGGGGGGGGGGGGGTGCGGGGGCAAAAAAGAAAAAAAAAAAAAAAAAAAAAAAAAAAAAAAAAAAAGGGGGGGGGGGGGGGGGGGGGGGGGGGGGGGGGGGGAGGGGGGAAATAAAACGGCGGACAAGCTCATCCGCTACGTGGGTGGGACCAAAAAAATGTGAAAATTTCACCGTGTCGTTTGCATTGCACGCATTCCAGTTCACTTTCCCGTCTTCTTCCCCTCTCTGCACCTTCGTTCTAACCATAGCATATATATATGCCAATGCTCACTCAATTGGAGCGTTAGCCCACTACAATTTCGGGTACGCACTTACACCGCTATCTCAGCCAGATTCGGCACCAAAAGTTCAAGCCTGGAAGCACTCCCAGAGACAGGCAGGTGCACCGGAGACGCATCTCGGCATTGTGCGCGGTCATGGGAGCAGCTGTGGATGAAGGCGAGCTGGGAGGCTGGCAGGAAGGACTGCAAAACGAGATGCCCAGGTGAGGGGACCGACAGAGATATAGACGGGAAAGGGTATCCCAGGTGGGACAGTGAAGGCGTGGGTGAGGAGCTGGGGGAACGGAGAAGGAGGAGAGGGAGGGGAGAAAAAGAGGGAGGGAGAAGGAATAGGCAAGGGGGAGGAAAGACGGGAGGGGCAGGGCGAAGAGAGGGGAGGCACAGGGCGAAGAGCAAGGAAAACAATAGCGAATGCACCAAGGAAGCAGTTTGCACGAACAAACGAATGCAGTCCATATTCAAATACACATACACAATGTTCGTACACTCATATCCCACTTCATTGTAGTGATTATACATTGCAGTATCACGACACGAATGCTGTTATTACACATATATATCATATATACGTACCATGTATCCCATCCTTCCTCGTTGACTACGTGGCTATGTGATCGGTCAAACAGAGATGGAAGGCCGTGAGAGCAAGAACAAGAAAAATAACGGAGAGGAGTTTAGCAACTACTCCGTAGACTTCCGGAATCTATTTATAGCAGCAAAACGACTCTACCTTCTTCCCCCGAATACAACGTACGGTCATTATAGCTGTATTCGAGGCATCTTTCAGTCTAGATACAGTTATAATGACCGTACGTTGTATTCGGGGGAAGAAGGTAGGCATCCATCCGGAAGAGACCGCAATCGAATCGATAACAGGTGACAGTAGTGGAAACCTTCAACGCCATGCAAGTAGTCCATCGTCAGACAGCGATAAAACACCAAAGGGCTGTCTGTGCCCTACATTCTTCCCCCGAATACAACGTACGGTCATTACAGCGGTATTTAGACTTAAGGATACCCCAAATACAGCTATAATGACAGTACGTTGTATACGGGGCAAGAAGGTAGTAAAATCAGGAATGCACAAAGGACAACATTCACAACCTCGAAAGATAACCCGCGCGCACGAGCGACTGGTGTGTGCTTGGAGGGCGTTGCTCGTCAAATAAGAGCAGCATATGCTGAAGAAAGAGCAGCAGGGGCCTGCGAAGCAGGGGGGTGGCTGCGCAAAATGGACAAAGAGACTTGACCTGGAGGAAGTAGACGGAGAAACCAAGTGCTTGGAGGGCGTTGCTCGTCAAATAAGAGCAGCATATGCTGAAGAMAGAGCAGCAGGGGCCTGCGAAGCAGGGGGGGGGCTGCGCAAAATGGACAAAGAGACTTGAACTGGAGGAAGTAGACGGAGAAACCAAGCCAGCACGATGACGGAGATGAGACAAGAAGAGATTTGGGAAGAGGGAAGCCTGGGAAGCCTGAGTCACAATGTAGGAGGTTGAGGGCGATGTGAGCCCGAGGACAACGCAGCCATAGGTAGCGAAAGTGTGTACGTAAAGCGGTGGGGGCAATTGACAGAGAAAGCGACCACCAGCATCAAGTAAGGGAGTAGGGAACAGGAAGAACGAGCGGGAGAGGAAGCGGGAAGAGTAGGGGAAAGTCAGAGCGAGCGGAAGAGCAACCTGCGGTAAGGAACGCGAGAGAGGGAGGAAACAGGAAAGCAACGATAGAAGAGCGTGAGTGGAACGAATTGGCAGAGAGACTGTTACGATAGACAGGACAGGATAGGAGGGGGAGCAGAACAAGCTAGCTAGCGCTTTTTTTCCCCCCGAATAGAACGTCACGGTCATTCGACTGTATTTGGGGCAACTTCCAGTCTCGATACCAGCGCTGATGACCGTGCCTTCTTACACTTGGAGTTATGGATAAGCCCAGAGACAGAGAGAACAGACAACAAGACAACAGGATAAAAAGGCAATCCAAAGGAATGGCAGGCAGAATCGAAGAAGAGCATCAGGGCTTTTCGACTGGACTCCCAACGAGCGCAGGAGGAAAAGAAAAAGCTCCCCGGGGGGAAAGGGAGAAACGGGGACAACGCCATGCCGAAGAGCGAGGCAGACGTGTGGTCCCCAGAGAATACTGTAGTGAAGCGAAACCGGTGAGAAAAAGAAAGACCTAGAGACAACGCCATCATCATCATGTACTGAGCACAAGCGGGAGAGGGGCCGGCAAGGGTGTCCAAGGACGAACTAGTGCGAAAACAACAGCAAATAAGGGCATACAAGCTTCGGGAAGAGCAAAGAATGCGGGGAATGCGAGTATACGAGCTTTAGGGAGAGCGAAAATCCGGGGAAAGCGCCGGCGATGACACGTGAGAGCCGCCCGCAACGTGAGGCAGCGATAAGAAAGCGCACGAAGGGTCGGGAGCGCGGATGACTCGTTGAGAGACAGCGAGAGGAATGCGAAAAAAAACGCGGTGCGAGCGGAGAATGGGGGGAATGCGGGGGCTCGAGCGGGAGAGGGGGCGTGGGGCGCGGCGGGGGACAGACAGCGCGAGAATGAGGGAGAAGACAGAGCGGTCTCCGGCGACGCATTTAAGGTTATAAAGAGGGATTGAGAGAAAAGGAGACAGAGACAGCGCAGGAGCGCGGGCGGAGAGTAAGCGAGAAGCTAGGTCGGAAAACGCATGGGATATGAGAAGCGCTTACGGTAGCAAGCAAAACCTAAGAGCGGGGAGAAGCAGAGAGAGAAAGCGCCGGGAAGGGGTTCACATTAAAAGATGCGCAGAAAACGACAGGCAATCCAATGCAGAAGAGATCGAGGAGCGCATCGCGCAGGATGCATCATCATTATACACGACTAAACTCAAAGGCGCGCGGACGCCAAGCCACAAAAGGGACTACGTAGGCAAAAATCAAGAGAGCCCGAGCAGAAGCTCCGCGGAGTCCAGGGCGGGGGACGACAGACGAGAGGAGAGAGCGTCGGAGGAAGGCGGGTGCGAAGACCACGCTGCGAGCGCGCGCGCGACACGTTCAGAACAGAGCTGGCGGGCGGGGGGCGGGGGGGAGGGGGGGGGGGGGGGGGGGGGGGGGGATGTTGGACTACCCCGAGCACGTGTACATGAAAAGGTCGAAACGGCAAAGGCGGGAAGAGCAGAGGTGGGCGGGGGCCAGAACTCCGCTGAAAAAAAAAAATCCTGACTGCGCAGGAGTCAACGCAGTTGTCAGACCTTATAGACCGAAACGACAAGCTGCTGGAATTGAAAAACATTGGGAGAACTTCGTCTTCTTTCCCCGTATACAACGTACGGTCATTA